ATTATTGACAAGTTAAAAAATAAAAGAAACTATAGACTTAAGACGTAAGGTGTCTGACCGATATCTCCCCCTTTTTTTTTTATTAAAATTGTATGGTATAAATATTTTTATCACGATAAATTAAAACTATTCACTGTTCGTGAAAGTGCTCGATTTCAAATGTGTTGAAAATACGTATTAAAAATAAATCGGATGTTTTGTTATGATTATAACAAATATATTTACTGACTAAAAATAACTCAATATTTTGATTAAAAGCAATGTTTTCTGTATACATTTCGAATACAAATAATTGGTGGGCCAAAGTTCAATAATCGGGATATTTGGAATCTAAAATTCAGATTTTCGAAATCCGAAATAAATATAAACATTATTATTTTTTATTTTTTATTTTTTTTTTTTTTTTGTAAAAATCTTTTTATACACATTTCTTAAATATATAAAATACGAAAATATATGATGTGTATATTTTTTTTAAATAAAACCATAACAACAAATTTTTAAATCTAAAATTGGAATTTTCGAAATTTGAAAATTTAATTCTGCATTGTTGAATAGGTTCTAAATACGAATTTCTGGTACAGCTTACCAGATATCTGGTATTTTCTATTTTATTCACGGCGTATTTCGAGACAGAGTTCACGTCTATATAATTGTATACCTTAATAATATATATTTTGAATAAATTAATTTTCGTATTTTTGTCATTCATTATCAGCAGTATAATATGCAAAGCACGATTAACGCAACGACCACATAGAGTAACTCGGTATTTTACTTACGCGTGACGTCATCTATCCATAATTTAAAGTCTTGAAATATAACGTAAAACGTCAATAATCAATTATAAATAATTAAGTTCCCACACCAGAAGAATCGCGTGAGTTTTAATGAATAGTAAATTAAATTACATTGGTACTCCCCTCCACAAAAATAAAAAAAAAACATTTTAAAACCCAAAATCTATTTTAAGAGATAATCTGTTAAACATAATTTTAGATTCTTAATATAAAATATGGATTGCTCTTTCTTCCGTACGGTATTCGAAAAATTTCGAGTTCTAGTCGTAGTTTTAACTTGTCTACCAAAAAATTAACAAAGACCTTTTTATATTTTGTTAATTTTGTCTTCTTTGTCTTTTTCGGGGTACAATATTGGCCACTAAGACTATCCTATTATATATCAACGACCTTGGTCCGATGTTCTTGCTATCCACTATCTAATATCATAACTATGTTCTCGTCTACATTTATTTTTTTATTACGATATCCCATTTCATTCTTGGTCTTCGAAGCGGTTTCCCTGTCGGGTTCCTTTCTAGCGCTGTATACAAAGTAGGAGTCTCTATTTCACAGGTATAAGAACAAGTGTTTTTATTTTAACGGTGCGTGTATTAAGAGTCCATGTATACACGTATATATAATTTTCTGTATAATATACGAGCATCCTATATTGTAAAATAATAATGGGAATTTTTACTGTATTTAATAATATAATTTATTTTATTGTCTATTTTATAGTAGGTATTATTAATTTTAAAAAATCTCGTAGGTTCGTTCGATTTCGATTTTTGGAAAGAGAAAAATTATTTAGATTGTATTTCGATTTTCGATTACGTATGTCACCGAAAACCCTAACGAACAATTAAGTTTAAGAAATAGAAAAAAATGATTACAGAAAAATGTGCTTATATTGTTTAATAACTAAACAGCGGAGACCTGAAAACGAATTTCACAAAAAACTGTATATTTTATAAAAGTTAATTTCAAAACTTATTTGGAATAATAACACGGAAATCAACAACTATCATCAACCCGTTTCATGTCTCCAGGTTTTGGGTCACCGTCAGTCACTTTACTGAATATATAAAGTATTGTTCTTGTTTATCTTATGTCGTTTAACTTTTATTGTTGACACAATAATTTATTGTGCCTCGCAAAAGCAATCGAAAATTCGAAAGTGAAACGGTTCAAAAATATTTCATAAATATAACCGTTGGGTTATGAGAGGGGAAAATAATTCAAAAGGAATTATAGTATATAAGTATAATGTTTTAATTCTTAAATAAAGTTATCATCGTTAATACTATGTTCTCAAAGCATACGAGATAAACGAGGTTTACGATTATGTCTTTCTAAAAATCTATTATATAAAAGTCAATGTATGTATGTTTGCGATTTACAAATTCAAAACTACCCATCTAATATGGTTCGAAATTTTACGGTTTGTGCTGGGAGTGGTTATGGAGATTTATGATTTAAATGGGAAATCCAATATTAAAATTTGGTATCACACATGAAATTTATTCTTTACTTACGAAAAACGCACTTTTAGCTTTCTAATTACAAGTTAACAACACCCCTTATATTCCCGTTTATCCATCCGTATAATTACTAGTAGGTACATTATATTTACGGTTGTTAATTTGGTTGACAAGGAGATATATGTTTATTATTATTAATTTAAAAATAAAATTGTACCATTATTATTATTAATATAAAAACGGGTATTAAATTTATGTTCATGTATACTAGCCAATATTAAAAAAAAATATAGCTGATACAGTGATACTATTGATGGGTGCAACATTGTTATAGGCGAGAAGTTCGGAAGGTGCAGGAATACATTAAGTTAATAAATTTATACGTATGAGCAACTATAAACAATTGTTCATGAAAAACTATTCTGAGTGAAGTTCGTCTATACATGATCTGAAATGTAGTAATATTTACGATTTTCATAAAAAATCACCATTATAAAAAAAAAAAATTACTGCATTACATTATATTTTTTTACCCCTTAGTACAACTACTTATAATGAACGTTTTGTTGAATTTCCAAGCATTTTTGTTCGGTCAGACAATTATATCCACATAGAACCTGCTAAATAAAAAATACCTAAAAAAGACTTGCAAACCTAAAATAAATATTAATAGCTTAAAAAACCACGTCTAGAATAGGTAAATTTAAGTTTTATTTTAAAATTCCTAGTTTCTACGAATATTTTTAACTGAATTACAACAAAAAAAAGAAAATTGACAATAATAAAACCATTATTTACGTAAACTTCCCGTTCTTTTTACGTTTTCCCAGTTTTGAACAATTATTAAGCAAAATACACAGAAAATCGAAAAATAAAAAAACTTTTTTTCTTGCCAACCAATAACTAGATCTAAATTGTAACAAAAAGTTTCTTTTATCATTTTTATTAGAACAAGTTTTCTAGTAAAAAGTTGCAAACACAAAAAAAATTTAAAAAAATCACGCGTGGTAGTAAAACCAATAATTGATCACCGCTATCCTTCGAATTAAGGTTTTCACGCATAAGCATAGTATAGGCCACCAAATTCTTTGAAAATTGTATTATAGGATTATATTTTATTGATTAAAATACGTTAATAAAACGTATTTCGTAACTCGGGAATTTCGCACGCTCGCAGATTGAGCCCTCCTAGCTGTTTTTTCGTTCATTACTGGTACATCAATTAGTTTCTATTTATTTATAATAATATAATTTGTCCCGACCTCCACGTCGGGTTACACGAGTTTATTTTTATTTCGTTCAATATTGTGCACCGCCAAAACCGGGTAATGCAGTTAAAGTTAAATACTTGTATAATAACACATAATATGACGAAGGTATTTAAATATCAAATTCTATTTCAAATTATATATATTTTTTTTTTTTTTATACGAAATGATTTAAACTGTAAATACTTTTTTAGGTATATATTCATTACTTGTCCTACTGTATGAAATTATTGATGATTAAAAAAAAAAAAATCACGAATAAAAAATTACATAGTTAAACTCATAATTGAATCGTTGTTATGTAATATTCAATATGACAAATTAAATGTATACAAATGGATATGGAAAACATATTTCAAAGTACTTGAAATGTTATATAGCTGATAACACCGAATACATTTGACGTATAATAATTTCACATATTAAACTATAATAAAAAAAAAAAAACATTTTTATTTATTACGTGAAACAAACGAACATAGGATAAATAACTGATTATTGTTATAGGTATTATTATTGTTCTTTTTTTTATATTATTATGATTCAGATTAAATTTTCATAATCATCATCATCATGTAGGTATAGCCATTTAATACTCGTGATGTTTATAAAGCGAAATCATTTTATAATTTCGTATATTTATTTAGCGGGGTTTTTTTTTTTTCGTTTGTTCTGGAATGTATCCAACACGCGCCGCACCCTCAAATCCTCCGACCATCGAATATATTATAAAGTGTAGCATAAAAGGATAATAATAATAATAATACGATAATATTATATAAATCAGTTTTTTTTTAAATCGAATGCGGAACATTTTTTTTTTCTTTCAATTCGTATTGTGTATATAAGTATATTTCAATAATAATAATAATGATAAAATAAGTAATCGCGATTATTTTTTTTTTTATAAACTTTTTGATAATTACATTGCTATATACACGTTCCAAACGCTGCAGCAGCAGCCGTACAATAATAATTACATATTGTTATTCGTTGTCCGATTCCCGGACGATATTATTATTAGCGCGGGTAGTATTATATACGTGTATGAAAGTTAATGAAACAGAATCGAGGTCAATTGCTTTATAATTATTATTTTATGTAAATTAACGGGTTGTAATATGTATGTGTACTGTGTTTTGTACGCATAAAATACGTGTACATATCTATATGTGCGCGTGTGTGTGCGTACGTAAGTATATACGTATGTGCGTGGGAGAGAGATCACAATATGCCTCGAAATATAAATTTAAAAACAATAAGGGATAATGCCGAAAACAGATGGAACTCCATCGTCCTCGTCTCCTGTATATAATAATAATAACAATATAGTACAGTTATACATTTAGAATTGGGAGAGTTTGGGAAAATGCTCGAGTCGAGTTCGAGTATAGTACTCGACTCGACAAAATTTTTGTTTTGTACTCGCAAATACGACTACTCGACTTTCTTTGGGTAAATAACTGTTTTATTATTATTTTTTTCTTTAGTTTAATGTTTCCTGTAAGAATACTGTTTGAACAATGGGATGGATTTTGACAAAATTTGATTGTTGTTGATTTGTTTTCAGTAATAATAATAATAATAATATGATAAACGACATTTATATGTATTGTTTTCAGATTTTTCGTGGGCTGCCACCTGCAATATTCACTATCCCGTAGTCACCAGTGACGGTAAAATAATTAGGCACTCGTGCGATTTCAAATACTCGACAATTTTTGAGTGCTCGACTATTGAACTTGACATGATTTTAAAAAAATCAATATTCTTCAGATTCTAGTTAAATTTTAACGTAACATTTTTTTGTCGAATTTTCACTAAAAATAATGAGGGTTGTGTTATATATATACCCTGCTACTTTTAGACACTATTAACAGTTCTTTACGGACCAAATGAGCTAAAACTCGAACAAATTAGATTCGTTTTATAGGTGAAATGAAGTGATATGAGTGAGGTTGAATTTAAAAATGAATTTAATTATGGTTTTGCGGGAAGAAAGCGTTTTTTTTTCTTTGCTTTATACACCCTTACAGACCCATGAAACAAGGGGAATGGAATTTTTTATATGTACGGTACAAATATTAAGGAAGTGCTTTTTAGAGCTTTCTGCTTTAAACTCTCTTCAAAACCATTTTTATGCTCATATTTCACATTTTCACAGAAAATATCTGGTTCTAAATAGGTACAGCATAACTAATTTTAGATCAATTATAGTTTTAAAAAAAATTATATTTTAACTGCTTGACTTTAGTGAGGGAGCTTTGCTGCTTAAAGGTGTTTTTTTTTTTTTTTGGATATTAAACCCAACGAACGAATAAAAGTGATAATAATATGTATTATTTATCGTGTTGCAGAAAATATACTTATCAAAACCTGCACACTATACAAATATTATTATAATAAAGATAAGAATATACTTCCTAATCGATTGATGATCGAAGGCGATGGATCGTTTACCATCGTATTATAACAACGCGTAGATGAAATAATAATTTAGAAAACTTGTATTACGGCACGGTGGTATCCGGAATATCGATAAATTCGAATTTAAATATTTACGTTTTGTTACGGGGAAAAAAAAACCCCTTAAAACGTCAGCTGGTATAAATATTTTAGACCCGCGCAAATATAATATTTTTGCCTTTACGTTATACTACGTTAGGCACATACGTACGTACGTATGCATATATATATATATATATATATTTATTTTTTTTTTATCATACACGCGCCGAAAAGATCAATATAATATAACTGCTACACTACACGACAAATATTATTTATTTTATATTTTATGATAACAATTTACTATATTATGTAATATTATGTAATCGCGGAACGAGATGAAAAAAAATATATCCGCAGTGTTGCAGTTAATTTCTGTTTTTTTTTTTTTAACCAACGTGTGCAAGTACAGTATAATTGGCGATATATCGTATTCGAGTGCAGTGCAATATAATAGTGTATTGGGACTCGATCGAGCGGTTTATTTTGTACCGTCAAATATAATAGAAGGAGGTATGATATCCGATTTTAGCCGAAACAATGGACGAATCATAAAATATAGCGTACCTATAAAGGTATTAATATGTATGTGTATGTGTGTGTATGTAAATATTTTTTTGTTTCGTTATTTTATCGCGCAATTAATCATTCGTATCCGCGTGGTTCGCCGTCATCGTTTACCGCGCCAGAGTTTCAGAATATATTTTTTACGTCGATAATAATACAAGAGCATAGTAGACCTAATCGATAATTTGCGATAAATATTAATAATCTGCAAGGTGATCGGTTAAAAGGACAACGATTTTTGTTTTATTTTTATCTTACGTTTATTTCGTTATTTGTGCACGTATACTTTCTAACCTAACACGTGCAAATATACTCTTTATAGGTAATGTGAATAGATTCATTTTTTTTATTTTAACTTTTATCACTTTTACGACATTAATAAAGTACCGCTATATACATCGTTTATTTATATCGATCGCCACTGTTTATTTTTGTCATTTCCCGGATTTATCAATTTTCCGTAAATAATTATATGAAAATTTTCTACCCGAGCACCTCGCAGATTGTCTACAAAAAATTAACTATATATTTCGTGTTTATATAATAAATTGCACGAACATGTTTAAAAAAAAAAAAAATTACAACACAGAGGCGCCAATTTATTTTTATTTTACTCTTAATTTTAAGTTTATCATTATTGAAAAACGTATTCTTATTTTGTTTACATTTCTTAGCTACTTATTATCTGGTCAATTTTGAAGTATATAAAATGTTAAAATATCATTAAAAAAAAAAAAGTCTAATCTGAAAATAGCTTTAAGGGCGCGCGCGCGTAATTAATACGCGAATACGCTGACGATTTAAAGACCTTTTATTTTGTTTTTTTTTTTTCCAAATATACTCTAAACCGTAAAACCTACCGAGCTGAGAGAAGAGTACGGGAACCACACCAAAAATATACGGTAACCCGAGCAGGTAACCCATAAACATTATACTGTGTGTGTGTGTGTGTGTGTGTTTCAATTCGTCTGCCGAGATATTACTAGAGTAAATATAGGGGAGAGGGATTGTTTTCTAAAACGTGCCTATAGTGCGAAATCTCGGGATCCGGCCGACGGATGATGAATACGTTATCCCGGCAGCGTGAGCGGACCGCGGCGGGCGGCGCGCGTTTTTCCCGGTTTCTGGTTTATAAACCGTCGACCGTCAACGGTACGCCGCGGTTCGCAACAACACTATTGACGGCATATTAAATTAATGTGATGTTATTAGGTATATAGAACTCACCGAGCGGTATTTTCTCGTACTGGGTGCCGTCGGCGCGCGATGCGGTGGCGGCCGCGGCGGCGAACGCGACGCAGTACAGGACGAAGGATCGCGCGGTAACTCGTGGCCGTGCCATCTTGCCGGTTCGAACGACACGCACCAACTGACGGGAGATAATATAATATCGCGGAGTGATACCGGTGGCGGGCGCTGTACCGCCGCCGCCGGAAAAACTATAGTCGCGCGCAACTCGCAGGGGCCGCCACCCGTCGGTCGACTATCCGCGCCGCCCCGATAGGGTAGCCCGCGCGGAAGTCGCGGGCACCCGGATATTCGGCGGACGGGTCGCGCGGAAACGGCGTTTTCGGCACTTGTTTTTTTTTTAAGGGCGAGCCGTATCCGTAGCTCGCGTACCATAATAACATGCACTTTACAATGTTTACGGTTCTGTGTAGCGACGAGAAGTAAAAATGGAACAAAAAACACGAATAAAACGCATGAGCCAATTAGGTTTTAGAACGTATTTTTAACCCGCCTAATGGTAGCTGTAAACACAACACACAGACAAAAATCTCCGATTCCCACAAATTTTAATCCGTACCATGTTACACGCTCGTGTGCGATAAAACGAAATTCGGACTCTATTAGTCTTGAATGGTATCGCGTGCCCCTTGGGACGGGAACATGTAAAAATATTCAAATTCTAAAAGTTTGTTTTTATTTATTTTTTTTAAGTAACAGATCGTCGATTGGATAATTGTATAAAGATGTTGCCACCAGACCCGAGTCACGACTAAGTTTGTATTACCAATTTTAACAATGACAGTTAAGAAAACGACTGAACGAGCCAAAGTGACTGTGCTCCTTCCACTCGTGCGTCGGCGGGGTCTTGTGAACACTCTCAGTGGTCCTGTACTGAATAGACTTCCTTTTCGTCTGTCTCAGTCGTCTTGTATAGCATCTGTTACCTTGGCCGGGGCCTACGTGGTCATGGACGCCACCATCGTTCTCGTGGCGCGATGTCCTTACCCGAACACGTTTGCCTTATGGCCCTTCAACAAGTATCGTCCGCAATCGCGTGAAAACGTCCTCGGTTCGGAAGACCCGTATTAATAGCCCTTACGGTGCGTATACTTAACGTGACGATCGATTTCACCGATGAGTTATGCGCGTGGATTAATTCATAATAACAATTTTATTCGCGTGAAGGACCGAGTCCGTGAAAAGTGCCATGAGTAAAGGGAATGGGTTTATTTGTAGACAAACATAATTATTTTTACAAACAAATTTTTATTTGAAACAGTGATTTTATTATACGTCTTTAAATTCTGAATTCAGCATAGTTGATAATAGATTTACTAAGCTCAACAAATCATTTACTTTGGTTAGTAAAAATGCGCCAAATTATTCGCGTTACACGTTAAAAGATGGGAATTTTTCGTGGGGAGGTACTTTAATGAGAAAAAAAGATGTCCTAAGATAATGAGAACGAATACAGCCGCTGTTGTAGGTAATTTAATGTATGTTGTGTGAATATAACATTACATCTGTAAGCAACAATTAACCATTGCTTACGAAAAAACTATTCTGAGTGGATTTCTTTAATATTATACCTATTTTCCAGTTTTTCCTGCATTTTTTCCGAGTTTTTCCAATTTATTGAGAAAACTACTCTAAAAATCAAAAAATGATTTGCATAAAGTATATCCCCGGTCAGATTTTCTTTTAGGAAAACTACTTTTATTCTAAATTGGAGCAAAATTGCTGGTAGAAAAGTTGAATGTTTAGATTCCCAACAGTTTTTCTATATAATTAAAATATTGACAACATATGTCAATATGTTTTATATTTTGTTGATTTCTTAAGAAAATAAGGGAAGAATACTATTAATACTACTTCATTTAAAATCATTTTAGAATTGTAATAATTTTTGGTTCTTTCCAGAACATAAATTATATTCACCTATTCCTGTCCCACACACTAAAATGGCCTACATTTAGTGCAGAGTACAACCGTTATTGTTTTGCATTTTTAAACACAATTTCAACTCAAATTTTTGAAATTTGTTTGTGATTTTTATATTTTTGATATTTGAATTGCACGAGGAAAAAACTTTAATACAGTCATAAACAAACAAACTGGTTAAATTCGATGAAGAGGGGGGGGGGGTTTCACTGCCCACTAACGAATCGTGTTCTAAATAAATATTAGAAACGGTTTTGAATGTACGTTGTTTTCGGTGTTCGAAAATTCAGCACGGATTTACTGATCCATATATTGTTGTTATAATAAAGCACGTAATTTTTTTTTTCTTTCTCTGATCCAGACACACAAAAGCCTTATATTATTGTTCGGTGCGTATTGAAACGGCCGGATGATAGTGCAGAATGGTGTTAGGCGGGCGATTCAGGGACGAGAAAAAACGGAGCCAAAAAATTATTTTATTCGACGTGTGCGCACGCACGCATCGTGTTTATTGAATATATTTTATAATATATACGAATTTGTGTGTGAGTGTGTGTATATATGTGTATACTATTATGCATATATATATAGTTTATTTTGATCCTTTTGAAATCGGGTCCCGGCCTGGGGTTCAACAAGTCGATTTGTCTGCAATAAAAAAAATAATAATAATAATAATAATAAAAATACATATATAATAATACGAACAAAAAAAACGCATCGACGACGACGACGTGAATTGTATGCCGCGTTTACTATACGGCGTATTTTATAATAATATGTAAGTGTGTTCGTGCGAAAATTGTTTTCCAAACGATTGGAAATGGGGGAAAAATATATATGTGTGTGTGTGTGTATAAATATTCCAGAGTTCGAATATTTACATCTGCTGGGATACAGACCGAGAGATAACGTTTTATAATATTTTATATAATATATTGGTTATAACCGACGTTCACGGACAACAACACAAAAAACAACCCGATACGAGCGACATCACCGAGATTTACATAGATTATATAATATAATAATAGTATTATCTACCTGCAGAGGCGGATTGTCTAAGGTGGCGGGTTGGTGATCTCCGTCTGGACTGGTTACAATTTTAGCATCTTGAGTTATTTTGGTTCAATGAATTATTATTATTTTTAAATAATTGTAACTAAGTAGGTAATAAAAAAGAACGAGGAGAGAAAACATCAACCAAAACTAAAAAAAAAATTAATTTTGGATCATATGACTAGTCTTGATATCTAACATTTTTGGCTGAATTGTCTGTATACCTTTATACAATATTTCAATTTATTATTATGTTTTGGTACTTATAATAGACTTTATCAATCGTTTCGAAATATTATCCTTGATTTGTACAAAGCATATTATAACCTATACATTAATGATGTGTTGATGAATCTGATAACTGATGAATTTTGGTTTTAATTTATGCGACTATATCCTCTGTAAAACGTACATTATAATAATATAATTGATTATTCTAGAATGATATACGAATTCTTATGATTAAATATCGTAACACAACATCAGTTTATATTTATACTCTTCTTTTCGTTCTTCCCGCATTTAATACATAATGCTGTGTGTGTGTTTTTGTCGCCGTTACAATCTTTCTCTCACCGCTTAAGTCCATTCTGAAATGGAAATTTCTCTTTATTTCCCTCCTATCCCATCGAAATCTTCTTCAACAACATCCATCCGTCTTTTCCTATAGTTCAACCTCGCAGACAGTCTTCGAATTAGCTAAGAATGGCCATTTGTATATTATTAAACATACATTACTGAGTAACCGAAGATTTTTTGTAACACTAGCCGGGAAAAACAGTAGATGGAGAAATATAAGAAATGGGCTACCACAGGGAAGCGTTTTGGCCCCCACGCTTTTTAATATCTACACCAATGATCAACCCATATCTACGGATAACAACATAAAACATTATGTATATGCAGATGATTCGGCAATTGCTGTACAAGAAGATAGCTTTGAAGCAGTGGAAACAAAACTTTCTAAAACACTGGACCGTTTAGGAAACTACTATAGGGCAAATTATCTGAAGCCAAATCCTAGCAAAACCAATGTAAGTGCTTTCCACTTGAGAAACAAGCAGGCCAACAGAAAACTGGTAGTGAAATGGGAAGACGTAGAACTAACTCATTGTGGTACACCCACATATCTAGGCGTGACATTGGATAGAGCACTAACATACAAGACCCATTGCGAAAAAACGAGTAAGAAAATCAATACCCGGAATGGTCTGATACGGAAATTAACGGGATCAGCATGGGGCGCACAACCACATGCGTTACGGGTTTCAGCGTTGGCACTATGCTACTCAGTAGGGGAGTATGCATGCCCGGTCTGGAGAAGCTCTACCCACGCGAAGAAAATAGATATCGCCTTAAATACAACATGTCGACTAATCACAGGATGCCTAAGAAATACACCAATNTTGAACGCGGTAAACAAAAAAGAGACACGAGGCACCCTATGTATGGCCAAAATGACCCCACTTCTCGTCTGAAATCAAGAAAGTCTTTCCTAAAGATAACTGAAGAGCTAACGGAAACACCTTTATTAAGCAGGTTAAATGAGTGGAAAAAACTGATCACGGACACCAACGGTAAAAGATGGTTGGAACCAGCAGAAAGATTACCTCCTGGTAACAACCTAGACTGGCCGGTATGGAAGACACTGAACAGACTGCGTGTTGGTGTAGGACGGACAAAAGAAAATATGAGAAAATGGGGATATGGAGAGCAAGACATAACTTGCATATGTGGACAAGAGCAGACAACGTCACACCTACTTGTCTGCCCAAGAGGGCCAAGCCCATGTACACAAGAGGACCTTATGATAAGCAACAAGAGGGCGGTAAATACAGCCATATACTGGACAAAAGAAAAGATATAATTAGTATGCAATACTTGTTACCATTATATTAGTGTGTTATTATTATTTATATTTTACATATTTTACTTATTTGATATTATCTATTTAGTTTTGTTTTATAAATTACATGTTTGTTTTAAATTTAATTATATGATGCCTGACACGAAAAAAAAAAAATTAAACATACATAATATGATGAGTAGCTAATAAAAAAAATAATATAATCGGAAATATGAATTGTGGGTCAAAAAAGGTTGAAAAACTGACCAGTACACCTAGTATGCTAAATTATTTTTCTAAAAAATTGTATTTTATAAATTTCAATAATATTTTATTTATAGCGAAACAGCGTATTCGTATGTAGATGATTCCTTTGAGCCTTTGAACATTACGGAATTTTATTTTTTCAAACGGTTTTATATTATTTGTGATAGAGCGAGGAATTCAATTACATTGAAAAGAAAAAACAAATTCTCTTTGTGCGGAATATACAACTATAATATTATACATTTTAAATGCTTAGATACCTCTTCTTATAATGTAATAATATTCACAAAATATATTAGCTTTATGCCTATATTTAATATTTAATAATACATAAAAGACTTATTAAAAATAAAAAAAAGGACAGACATACTTCGCACGTGGATGCAGCCACTTTTGTAGGTGGGAAGTTTAAAAGGTAGGATACAAACAACAACCTAATGTATATCTGTAAAAAACGATAAACCATTTCTAACGAAAAAACGATTTTTAGCGAATTTCCGATTATACATGTATTGAAAGGATTTACTATTTATGATTTTCATCAAAACCATTGATATTAAAATTCTTATAAAATAAAAACTTCATTATACTTTCTTTTTTCTTTACAACTAACTATGGCTTATCATGAATCTCCTGTTAAATTTGCAAGCATTTCTGTTTGGTCAAACATTATTATCCATAGATTAAATAAAAAATTCTTAAAAAGCTTCTAAAAAATGTCTATAAATAGCTAAAATTGGCTCAAAGGTTTTTAAAATATTACAACGTCTAGAAAAAATAAAAAAAAATATGTACGAATATTTTTAACTGAATTACAACAAAAAACAAAACTGTAAATAATTAAAGCATTATTTCATAAACTTTTCTACGTTTTTATTTTTGCTTAATCATTAAAAAAAAAAAAACAAAGAAAATCAAAAACTGCTATCTTATTTATAAATTATATTAAAACGCCAAAAAAAAGTAATTTATTATTTTTCTATTCAAGCAATAATTCTGGTAGAAAACAAAAACCACAAAAATTTTAAATAAAGAAACCGAAACGCCTTAAAATTATTGATTTTCATTTTACGTTTATTCCCGGTTTTTTTTTTCAATTATTTTGGAAACTATTTGGAAATCAAAAAACGATTTTCATTTGCATCTAGATAGAAAAATGGGTACTCGTCTAATAAGCTATCTACGGCACGTTTGTTGGTTTAGTATGCTATCTACCGTAAATATTTTATCTACAGTCATTTTATGTTGGTTTTAAATTGTCTTACCATAAAAATGTAGTAATTCTATTTTCTCACTTTTTTTCATGTGGTACAGTGTAGTTATGTATACGAATTTCTGACCGCTCCGAGGAATGATTCGAACAGGTCTTCGGTTGATTTTTGTAACGAACGCCACCACTCTTCTTGAAGTTGGGATGGCAATATGTTAATCGCTCCGCGTGTTTTAATGTAATATTTATTTTTGACGTGTCTTTAAAGAGTTTCTATAGTTTGTGTCTCAGCACCAGTTATTGGGTTAATAAAATTGTCCGAATGATTAACTGCTTTATGGGTAAACCCATGTTCATTTATAGTAGAATACGCACACCATTTATCGGGATATACAGTAATACCTTGTTCATCTTCATTTAATATAATTAGTGGTAAGGAATTTCAATCACGTTTTTCAACTTACGAATGGGTATTTCCCGTTCTTCTTCGGTTTTATCAAAAATACAAAAATGTTTTCTGCTTGAATCTCTGGTACTGCGAACTATATTTGACCGACTTCTTCATGTCATAATTGAATGCTAAAATAAGGATAACAATTAAAATTAAAAATCCAAACAAAATAATAAAATACAGATATACTATACGTAAAGCAATTTTGTTTTTATACTAAGTAACAAAATAATTAACATTTCTTTTTCATCCATGTTGATTCGATTTTTATACTAAAAGTGCCTAAATCCGAATTTTAGTCGATGATATACAATATAGAGTAGATTTAAATAGTTATAAATCTTCTCTGGACAACGCGAAACTGATAGTGAAAACCACATCAAAATTCGTTGCGTTATTTAGGAAGGGTGTTAGCTGATATACAGAGAGACAGACGCGAAAAGCTAATTTGTTTTATACTATGTAAGAATTAGTTTGTTTTTATTTAACTGAATGTCATATGTAAAATTAAATAACCAACAAAAGACATTAATTGTATTAATTATATTATTAAATAAACTGAATTGAACATAACCTAACCTAACCAAGACTGACATACTTCAGACGATGGATGGGCCACTGTTGTAGGTGAGAAATCGGGAAAGTATAATATAGAATATAGTTTAATCTGTACACGACGATAAACCATTACTAATGAAAAACCACTTAGAGCGAAGTTTTTTTTATATATGTATGTAAATTTTCCTGTTTACTTACGTTTTTTCTAGTTTTTTTCAATTATTTTAAATACCCATTGAAAAATTAAAAAATTACCACTTAAATGCACCATACAGATAAAATGTTTTTTAGAAAAAGTACTACACTCAAAAATCGTAGTAAGATTTTTGGTAAAAAAGTTGTTCAGAGATAAAAAAAAAATAAATATTGTAAATCAATACATTCCTCGCTACGCTCCGAATCTAAAATTAGAACGATGACACGTTATTATACAATTGGTACAAAAAAAGTTTTCCTTAATGATCATTTATTAAATAAAAAAAAGTGAATTTACACATTTATTTGGTCAATATATTTTATCATTTGTGGAATAATTATTGTAATGAAAATTCACAGACAAATTGGCCGTTTCTAAGTTTGGAAAATCAAGTTGTAAAACTATGTTAAAGGTTTGGTAAAGGTTAGGTGATTTTATTTTGTTTTAGTGGGATGAGGGGATACGGATACCATATCTATGATAAATAATGGTTGAAATACCAAGGAAGTGAAAACATCTATCAACACATCTCTATTTTGAGATACTATAGATAAATAAATGTATATTATAGAGCTAAGTCTATTATTAAGTCTACAAGTCACTGGCCAATATCATACAAGTATTAACTATTGTTAATCTGTTGAGTTAAAAATGTTTTTTTTTTTGTTTTTGTAAAACAAATGTGCTCTATATAGTGAAGCGATTGAAGTAATAAAAAGACAACAGTAGAACATAATTTAATGCAATTTCAATTGTGTATATTCAACAGTTAAAAATAATAATGTAATGTTTTCATATAGAAAGAGAAGAACTAACCCAAAAAGAGATTACAAAAGTAGCATGTTTTAAGTGCTGTCGTATATAAACTATTTGAATAAAAATCATTATTGACTGTTAACGATAATAATAAATAATCTATATTGATCTTAATTTTAAATTTTCGTTACTCGAGAAAAATTACAACAAATAAACATATGGACAAATATTACGAAAAAAACGATAAAATAGCAATGAACAGCATTAAACATTGAGTAGCGTTCTTAGAGAACAAAGTTTAAATATATATAATTTTGTTTGTAAACAACTTTTGAAAAAGAAATCTTGCTTCAATGTATGAGTGTAGCACTTTTTCTGGACGAAAATTGCATCTAGTTGATACATTATAGAGATCATTAGTCATTACGCACGATTTTCCATATTAGAAATATTGCTTCAAGAGGAATACAACAAAATATCTTTTTGATTGAATTTTTATGTTTATTTGCGACCAAGAAAGCAGTTTTTTTTTTAATAATTGAACAAAACTGAAAAAAACGTAGAGAGAACGTGTAAATTTAAGAAAATAATTCTTCCAATATTTTCAATTTTTTTAAAATACAGTGGAACCTCGATAACTCGAACCTCTATAAGTCGAATTTTCGATAACTCGAAGGAATACCTTGGTCCCTGGCTTCCAATATATGATATGTGTGTGATATGTATATGTTTTCCATAAGTCGAATTTTCGATAACTCGAATTTTTTTTTCGCCCCCAACCGATTCGAGTTATCGAGGTTACACTGTATTTATAAACTAAAAATTTTGAATAAAAACTTATATTTAACGTATAGTATAAAGTGTAGCCTTAATCAATAATTCATCATAATTAAAAGTGTTAAAATTTTGAACACCTATATGATTTTGCAGATATAAATTAAATCTATTGAATTGTTGATTCTTGTTAAAGGTTTAAAAATTAAAAATTGTTTAAACTAAAATGACTAATACAGAAAACATATTTCAATTATTTGTAAGCTATTTTTCCTTATAATAAAAATACATGTATAGGAAAATTTTGGGTGGTATCTACAATGTACATAAAAAAATTACCTTACGTCCAGACTTTACTGCAGTAGGTGCACGAGAAGTTTTTGAAATGAGCTAAAGCATTTGCTGTTCCAAACAATTTAAGAAAAAAAAGAAAAGTGATTTGAAAGAAAAACGAAAAATAAAATAATGTTTTCAGAAATTCTCTAAAGTTAAATTTATAGAACTTTTCTCTCAACAACAAATTTAAAGTAAATTCATATTTTTAGTTTTTTGAATTAAATTATATGCATGCCAATAAATAAATCTTTTTTTTTTTTTAATACGTTGGAAAAAAGGGAAAATAAATACAATATTAAAAAAATATTATGAAAGAAAATGTACCATGCATATTTTATTATTTTGCATATTTTATCATAATATGAAATATATATATATATATATATATATATATATATATATATATCGTTGACAAAGCAACACTATTAACCGAACTCCGTTCAGAATACATTTTTCGTTCATTAAATTTCCCG